AATGTGACTTAACCCTGATTTGTTGGGTGAAGGCGTAACACTGAAGCACAGTTAACACAAACCATGATTTCACATCACAGTTTGGGTACTCAGGCAGAACATAAAGTAATACTTAATCATGGTTAAGGTAAACAAGGTACAGTCAAGGTATGATGGCCTCAACATCCAAACCAAAATAAAAGCGAAATTATTCTAGTTGCCTTTTATTATCAGTATTATTTCCAAATAACCAGAAGAGCCTTCTCACTGAAACCATGTCACTTTAGCAACTCTGAAATCTTCTGATATGGGCATCCAACTTGCTGAACAATACTGGAAAGAATACCATCTTGGACAAAGCAGCAAACGACTCCAGTCTGAAAAAGAACTGTCTGTACGTGGGTACACAAAGTGGGAGGGCTTCAGAGAACCAACCAATCAACAAACAAACAAAAATATAGGTTTTTTGCACCATTTTTTAGTTTTTACCTACTGGAATGCTGCTAGAAACAGATACAAGAGTTTAGCAATTAAAAGGAGAGGATCCCTTACGAAGTGTTATGAGCAATTATAGGAAGCCAAGTCATAAGTCCATAATTTAATTGGAATCCTCTTGTTCTGCTCACCTCCAGCAGCAGCAGCGTCTCCTGCTCGGTCCACTCCCGAGTGGCGCTGGCAGCAGCTTTGCTCTATGGGAGAAAACCGCACATTAGCACCCACGCCTCTCTGAGTAAGCATCTGAGCAAATCCCCCCTCTGCCTGCCCTCTACCTTGGAGGGAGCATTCTTCTTGGTGTACATGTCAGTACGCAGCCCAAAGTTTTGCATGTCTGGAGGCTTCTCCTTGCTCTTATCAGGGAAGTTCAACATCTGCTGGGAAGCTGTGGTCTGCTGTGGGGGGAGAGGGAGAGAATGAACTCCATCAGTTGTTAACAACCCAGCCCCACACCTGAAACCTCATGAGCTCTACCTCACTGCCAACGAGTTTCGGTGAAAATACATCCAACTCTCGTTCTTATTTGTGACCAATTCACAGCAAACTCTACAGGATGCTTGCAAACAGCCTTACGGTGTGATAAATGGACATAGGAGAACAAACACCTAAGGAAGTAACACAGGCTACTCTTTAGAAGCACCTGAACTTTCTATGACTTGCCTTCCTCATCCCTCCAACAAATTAAACTTCATAGCATTAAGCAGCCAATGGAGATATTGCAACCAATTACATCTGCTACGCCTTCTCTGCATCTAATAGTTCTCCCTCTTATTCTTTCTAAAAAATTCAGTAGAATGGCCTTTGTCTGCATGGAAGTTCATACTTCTCCAAGGCCATGGGAAAGAACCTATGCAGCCCCAACCTCTTAGTTCCCCTACCGAGGAGCTGTGAGTTTTATAAACCTACTCCTTTAGAGCTCTCCCATAGCCTACCATTTCAGGTTTCCCTTTCACCGTCTCTGTGACAAGGTCCTCAATTTCCTTGGTTTTCCGACCCGCCTTGGTGTCACTGTCGCTCTGACGACCCTAGAGGGTAAGCAAGAGAGTGCTCAAAAATCCCACTCAGAAAGGTCAACATTTTATGGACATTTGCCCTTGTTAATGTGGAGGCACTTCTGCTTAAATGGAAACATAGCGCTGGGCTTACCACGAAGCCTGTCTCTTCAGCTGAATGAAGGTTATTCAGGAGTGGGTTACATCTCCTGCTTGCCTTGGAGGCAGGGCTATGCAGATAAATTCATGCTCAGTCCCTTGCAGTGGGGAGAAGCCTCCTAGTTCTGGTTCTGCCTGCAACAGGGCTTGAACTGAGCTCCTGCACTCCAAATGTTGCTAGCTGAGCTAGCAGCCCAGCACCTGCGTGGTTCTGCCTTCAGCTCAAATGGAAAGAGTAGATAATCTGAAGTGCTGAGAGAGAGATCTGGCTGTAGAAACATTTGAACAAAACCTAATGCGGTTATAAATCCATAGATTTCCCTTCTCCAGCATCCTCGAAAGAGGCAGGAACAATTCAAAGCTAGTAAGCAGATTCTAGCCATGCATAACTTTTTTAAAAAGAGGTTTTTAAATTCAGCTTTCTTTTCATGAGGGATAAGCGGCTTTGTTCTCCACCAGCCCTACCTGGGGCGTCTTGGGCTGCAGTGGCACCAACCCTGAAGGAGTGTCGGCCAGAACATGGAAATGAGAGGTGGGTGGTGGTCCCATGGGTGTCGGCCGGCTCTCAGCATCCACTTGATAATTAATGAGTCCCCACTGTTCTAGGAAGGCATGGACCCTGCAACAGAGGATCAGAGATGGATCCTGAACTCAGAATCTCTGCTTTTAGATTCAAGGAGATCAGGAGCCGCATTCACAACAAAAGGCAAAGGAAGCTGAACAAAATGCTGAATAATCCTACAAAGAAGATGAAGTTTGCAAAAATAGGATATTCACAATTCATGCTTTTTGTTTCTTTATCAGTGTACTTTGAGGCTAATTTCAGTCAGCCTTCCTACTACACATAGATTTGTTTTCCTATTTAAAAAAAATGGCTGCAGTGGCAGCTAAGAAACAAGATTTTGTTTTGTTTTGTTTGCGTTAAGTGCTGTGTAAGAACAGAACACAGTATACTGTCTCTGCTCCAAAGACAGACGGGATACACTCAGAGTAAGAGGTAAGAGGTGGAATGCACAAACTCAAGCTGCAATGTGCTCAGTAGCAGACATCTTTTTGACCTGATCACACAACTTGCCCCAGAACAACTGACTCTCTGAGTGCAATCAAGAAACTGCTGCAAAGAAACAAGTTTCTGTTTTGAGGAAATATGCTTTTAAAATGAAAAATATAAAGTTTCAATCCCTACTCTATAAATCCTCTAATATTCATGGCATTCCCCAGCTCAGAAATGCGTCCCCTGACCAAATGATAAGAGGAGTTACGGTCAACCCCATCTTTCTCCCACTTTCACAAGGTATGCTCACATCTTGGAAGCGACTGATCTAAAATTCTGGCTTGTCTCACAGATGTTCTAAAGTAGCTAACTTTTTCTTGGCTTGGCTATTCTGTATTTCAACACACCTCATGATGGCACAGACATCTCCAGCCAGATTCCGGCGACAAGCAGTTGAGGTTAGGTACTCCTGTGGATTGAGCCGGTATGTGTCAATCATGAAATTGCGGTATGCCAAGTAGCTAAAGAGTGGCAGAGAGGAAAAAAGGAAATATTGAGAATCATCATTTCTAACCCCTTTTGTTCCCAAAATCTTTGCCCCGTATTAAGTCCGCTCTTTCTCTCACGTGACCAATATCCCGAAAGCTAGTTTGCGTCTACTCTAATCAGATAAAGAACAAGGAAATAAGGAAAGGACTGCCTTCAGCTCTCCAGGGGCTGAAGTTAAAAAGCATAGGCCATAGCCACATTTGCTAGTATGGATGTCATTATTAAGAAGAAGACCAGTCTTACATTTCAGGAGTCTTGGACTTGTTCTTGCCATTGAAAAATTCCGGGAGGGCTCTTCGCTCAATGGCATGGACACTGTGGAGGAGGCATAAGGAAGCATTACAGCAGGCCAGAAGGATGGAGGGGCTGATGAGAGGAGAACCACTCCCACTCCCCGTAACAGTACCTGTTATAGTCAAACCAGGCTGCATAACTGGGAATGATAATGTGATGAGTCTGTTCTGTCACGTTGTCTTCATGAAGGTCAGGGTTCTTTGTCTGCTCTCCTTTGTTGCCAGCATTGTTCTCTTCTTCATCCTGAAAGGCAGAAGTCTCTTGAGCAGGCAGTGCATGTAGCCATGACCTTTCTGATGACATGTTCCTAACTCTCCCTTTAAGAACATTCGATGGATTTTTTTCATTCATGCAGCCCTTGATGTGAAGAGCTTGCAAGCCTGCTTTATACCGAATTCAGAGGATGATGGCACATCATTGCAAAGACAAACTGCCAAGGGAGAAGGGAGGAAACAAGGACGATTTTGTGTTGTCTGAGAGAATGTTAAGGGACAAGAATCATTATTGGTGATTAAACAGGCTTTCGAAGAGGTGCTTTTCAGTTATCTTTTCTGTGCTGGAGTAATGGAATTGTGCCTACTTTTGCTGGTGCCAGAAAAGTCAAGAAAAAGAAGGATATAAATGTGTATCTGTGGGAGGAGGAGGAGGACAGACCTAGCACAGAAATTATGACAATTCTAATAATTGGTTTTCCGGTACGGCGCGATGACGGGCGGGTCTCAGCAAGCGCTTGCCGCACCCGACCAGCCAGCCTGGAAGGCAGGCTGGAGCATGGGGCTTTTTTTCTGCCCCCCCCCCCCCCGTAATCGGCAATGCGGGGGGGTGTCCAGGAACTGCCCTGAAGCAGGAGCGTTTGTCGGAGAAGAACATGGCCGCCGCCATGTTCTGATGAGACGCGGCCATCCGGACTTTTTAGCTTGGTGTAAACTTCATTATTTGCAGCATGGAGGAGAGAAAGGACTAAGACAGAAGAAGAGAGTTTAAGGACGCAGGTAAAACAGCCCCCAAAAGACGCGGTGTCTATAAAGGTGAAGCAAAACGGCCGGGATTTGTATGGACTAAAGTGTAAGTAGAGAAAATGGAGGGGGAGGAAAAAGGCTTGGAGAGCATGGAAATGGTTGTTGGACCAGAGGGCTTAGAGACTGTTGGTGTGTTGAGAGCCCAAAAGATTTGGCAAGAAGGGGAATGCCTAGAGAGAGAGGAGGAGAAATCTGAGGAAGTCGTGGAGATGAAGGAGATGGATTGGGAGCAGTTTTTGAGAGCACTGAAAGAGGCTGCGATAAGAGGGTGCAAAGAGGCATGTGCAGATATAAGGAAAAAATATAACATACAAACTGAAGCAGATAACATACAAACAGAAGCAGAGGGAAAAGAAAAGCAGGAACAATGTGCAGGGAAGAAGGACTCAGAGAAGCCAGAGGAGGGAGAAATAGAAGATAAAGATGTTGGCAAGGAAGACAAGTTGGAAGAATGTGTGAAAGATAAAGGATGGATAATGGAAGCAATAGGCTCTGAGAAAAAACTGTGTGATGTAAAATTGGGACGGACAAAAAAGAACAAACAATGTTTAAAAGCTGCACGAAAGAAGGAAAGAAACAGGATTGGAAGAAGGAAAAAGGTGTGAAAGTTTAAAAAGGATAATAGACCTTGGAAAATAGAGGGACTGAGAAACAGAGAGAGGAGACATGGAAGGCAGAGTGCGTTCAAAGAGAGAAGACATGCAGACATGATGAGGTTGAAAAATAGACTTCAAATGCGCAAAAGAAAAAACAAGCTATATGTGACCCAAAAAATTATTTACCAATGAACTGTGCTTACAATGGAAATTGACCTAAGAATGTCTTGTTTATTTTCTATTTTTCACTAATGAACTAATGTAATGTAAAGCTCTTTGTTTATCTTGTGAAAATTCTGTGTTATATTAGCTGGTGTATCTTAAAGAAAAAAGGTGAAGGTTAAGGAGGAAGGACTATTTGTGTAAAATTTATTAGAGATTCTGGTGTGTTAGGCGGAGTATTTTAAAGAGGTAAAGGATAAGGAAGTAGGATTATTTGTAAATTTTGTTGGAAGAGGGTAGATGAAAAATTAATTAAGTCCAGAGAGTCCTTAGAGTGGAGATGTGTACAGAATGAGTAAGGTAAAATTGATAATATTTATTATATTTATTCTTAATGAAATCATTATAAAGTGAATTATTTACAATGTTTATTAAAATTATACTTAAAGGGAATGAAATTAACACAAAAATGATGAAATGTTGAAATGATAAATTTTATGGAATGAGTAAGGTAAAATTGATTATATTTATTATGTCCATTCTTAACGAAATTGCTATAAATTATTTATAATGCTTATTAAAATGATATTTAAAGAAAATGAAATTAGTATAAAATGATGATAAATTAGTGAAGGCTGAGAGGTATAAATTTGAAGATAAAAGGTGAAGGGGATGAATAAGATTATTTGTGAGTGCGTATAGTGTTTAAGTGAAAATTGTGAAAGAAAAGAAACTTTGATATAGGTATAAGAGTCTGTTGTGGTATATCTAGGTTTAAATCTATCATTGGTAAAAGAGAATAGTCCTGTTGCGGGTCTACAGTACAGATAAGAATTTTGGTATAGCTCTGATGGAGTAAAATCCTTAGTAAGTTATAGAAATATAAGATCTCAGTTAATAAAAAGTGAATACTATGAGAAGAGAAGGGAAGATATGATTTAGTAAGGATATGATTGATAAGTTCTCTGTGTTGCAAGGTAAAAGGTGTTGTATGATCTATTTGTGGTGTATTGGTGGTGGGTGTGTTGAAAAACCCAATAAAAATATTTTTTTTAAAAAGAAAAGAAATTATGACAATTCTCTTAACTGACAAGAGAATGAAGACAGGCAACAGCTGGAATGTGACAGTCCTGCTTGGCTCACCTTTCCCGCAGTCTCCATGCTCTCATCCTCTGGTTCGTCTGGAAAACAACAAAAAGGCATAGGCAGCCCGAGTTTCGGAAAGGAGTCTCCATTCATACAGCCTCTTAGTATCTACTTTAGACAATGCAGCAAGAAGAAGGAGGCTAACTTGGGTATTTCTGAGATTACCTAGCATGCAAGTCGCTTTTCATTGTACATGTGTCTTTTCCACCAAGTCTTCCTCCAACAAAGAAAGACCTCCTTCAGCAAGCCCTATCTCTATCACAGAAAGCAATTCTTTATTGGAGAACATCTTTCTCCCTTGAAGGAAGAGAGTCATAGGGTCCAAATCTATATGTTTGCTATTGCCGTTACAACTGCTTGATCGTTATTTTCTCAACCCTTGTACTCACTGCTGAGAATGTGAGCAACAGTGACCTACCTCTGTCACTACATTGTCAGCCATCCCAATCTCAGGACTCAGATGAGGTTATGAACATAATGCACAAATAAAACCTATGACTGCTAGGAGTTACAAGTGGCAGAGGGAAGCATTTACCTCTCGCACTCTAAGAAGAGCAGGGGTCACCAACTGATAGCTTGCTGTTGCTCATGGAGGTGCCCCCCCCAGCATGTTCCACAGAGGCAACTGTCTCCATGCCTGCTGTGCTTCTTGACTTGTCCATAAGGATGCAGGAGGCCAGAAGAGCACTAGGCTGCCTCGGCATTGTCAGCTTTCTGCCCAGCATGCCTTGGCTCCCATGCACCAGGGAAGGTGCTGCAACCAGGGCAGCAACCCTCCACCATCAGGGATGGGGCCTCACCAGAAGAGCTGCCTTGCTGGACTACCCATGAGGTGGGCCAGTACCAAGTGGGAGTGCTGCAGGGCAGTGGCAGCCCCACCAAGCTCCACATTCCAACGGGTCCCACAGCCAGGACTAGGACCTCTGACAGGGTGCCTCAGGGCTGGGCCCCCACCTCTCACCACCCTCCTTATTCACTGGCAAGGGGTGTGCGTTTGCTGCCACACTGCCCCATTGTACCCAGCCCTGCAGTTAGGCATTCACTGCCAAAACGTGGAGCTTGGAGGGACACCCGAACAGTGAGGCGGGAGCACGAGGAAGGAAGGGGCAGTGCACTTGCTGCCCCCCCCCTACTTGAGAAGTCGCTCTTGGGCCCTCACTTCATGCCAGAAGCTCACCAACAAAAAGGCTGGCTACCCCTGAAGCAGAGAACGCAACAAGTATACTTATAAAACAATTAATCAGATGAACATAACCTCTGGAAGCCAAAGAGCTGCTCATGTTCATGCAAGTGTCAGCAAGCTGCCAATGTGTTCTATATGTCTTTCCCT